CACCGGTCCTCTGGTAAGAAATTACACATTTTCATCGACATCGATACATCGATAATTTTGTTTTCCTCCTGCTTGCTCCTGAGGAAAAACGAGAAGTTTATTTTTGTGTCCATTCAGCACTCATATGATGTCAAAATATTTTTCATGCTCAATGAACTATTACCGATTTTGGACTGGTCCTTGACATGATCTGATCAAAATTATATTTATTTATTACAAGTATTTTTTCTTTTGCAAAAAAATCAAAGATAACAACAAGTATGTTACACTTTTCCTATGATTACAAAAAAATCATTTGCTAACAATCTTTATCGACACATATACATATCGATAGTCGCTTATTCCCATTCTTATCCGCCAGCATAAAGTCCGTGCACGCCCCGATCCGTGCTGGCACATACAAATGACGAAATTATATTTTTCACAGCCTGCCCAACTGCCCAACCGCCCGACGCAGCGCGACTTTGCACCGCTGATAAGTGCTATTCTAATATACGAGGTTTCTCTGGGAAATATGTTGCATATATTCGGTACTAGAGGACACCTTTGCGCTGCTGCGAAAGTTCTAGTCTTCTTCGACACTTTTTGCGAGGTTGGCAGAAATGCATAGGAGAAAAGAGTGATCTACGAAAAATATTTTTTGAAGGTGTGTGAAAAAGATAGAGAATCTTTGAATTAAAAGAAGGATATGATTGTTAGAATAAAATTATTTGGGATTAGACAGTTGTAAAATTTCTTATTATCCTAATAATAAAATAAATAATTTGTTCACCAAATAAGGCAAAGACAGAAAATGTATGTAAAAAAGATTAGGTTCTGGCCAAGGGTGAGTCAGACTCGCATACGAAGGGTTCCGTACCATTATCGTATACAATATTAGACACTATATTATAATATCGAGAAAAAGACGGCAAAAAAATCACGTCTGTTGTATGAGATCCTTAAATATTGATTTTACTTTAATGTAACTAAGTAATTATTAGTTTTTAAATGAATATACAACTAAAATATTCTGTGAATATTTCAAACGTCTACCTGTTGCCGTTATGAATAAAGAGCATAAAACGGCAAAATAACACGCTTATTTTATGGGACCCCCCTTAAATAACTATCATATTCTCTTTTTAGTATTAGTTGTTATAGTATCAACAGAATACATCATCTGTGAAAATTTCAACTGCCGGTTGTGTAGCTATCACTTGTTCTTGAGATACAGTCTGTTGACAGAAAGATGACAGACAAACGGACATACAGACGGACAGTGGTGTCTTAGTAATAGCGTCCCGTTTTCACCCTTTGGGTAAGAAACCCTAAAAAGTATATACTGAATTTACACCTCATTTCAGTATCCCATAGCACAAGCATAAGAGATGCAATACTATGGATGGTAGGCTAATTGGTGTAGATTTTCTAGTTGTATTTAATTGTTATAATTTTTATTTTTTAAGCATGTAACTGCTTGTTGTTTAAATCTAAAGAAAATATAACTAGAAAAAATTCCACGCGGACCAGGCAGCAGACGGGACTCAAATCCGCACCCTTCGGGCGGATGCACTGACCAATTATGCTACTTAGTATTCGTTTGACATTTTGGGTTACCTACAATACAAAGAGATGGTGCTGCCTTTCAGCTTAACAATGGCTAGAGAAATTTCGACAGGCCGTCAGGGCCGCGGTAGCATAATTGGTCAGTGCATTCGCCCGGATAGCGAAGGGTGCGGGTTCAGTCCCGTCTGCTGCCTGGTCCGCGTGGATTTTTTCTAGTTATATTTTCTTTGTATTTAATTGTGTTTTGGCAATTGAAATCTGACTAAAAAACTATACTTCAAAAACTACTTCATACCCTTACCTGTTCAAATTCAACCTTAAACTACTTTAATTATTATCAAAAGACATCTTAGAGGCACAATTCCGCAATGAGCTGCAGGCGACAACCGCAGGCGACACTGCGGCTAGCACCTGCGGCTGACCGTGCATTGTATGCATTGTGCAGCCGCGGCATGTCGCCGCGCTCGAAATCAATTTCATAGACATTCATAGAAACTAGTAGTGTCGCCTGCAGTCTGCAGCTGCGGCCTGTGGTTTGCGGTTCAGTTCGAAGTTGTACCTTCAAGGAAAAAATAATGCCAAACGTAGCGTACTTGATACTTAACGCCGCCACGAGAAGCTAGAAGCGGCTACTAAAGTGGATGAGGCGGCGTTTTTTATCGACGCATTAAGTGGTCGGTGCCACAAGAAGCGAGCAACGACGATTTGTAGCAGGGCTTGAAACCGGTTTCGAAAATACCGGTAAAAAAGGTTAATACCGGTTTTTAGTAAAGGTTTCGTTCGGAGCGCGTCCGAAATGAAAGCGGTACCTAAAACCTTAATAAACCGGTTTAATTCAGAGCGACATGTGCACGCGTAGGCATCGCTTAAAGTTTGTTTTGTTTGAACTAATCAAGTCACAACTTGTTAATGCTCAGAGATTGATGCATTTATTGACACGTTTGCTAGCGTCTAGTGAGTCAAGTTATTCATTTATTATCGATGCCGTCAGAAAGAGCGAATCGAAACCCTTTAAAAACCGCTAAATTGATTCAAAACCTATTTGATTTCGCTCTTTAGGAAAACCGGTTTTTTAAGGTTAAGGTAGAGCCAAACCTAAATAAAACGCTCCTAATTTACTTGACACTGATTTAGGTTTGAAAATTAACCGGTATACAAGCCCTGATTTGTAGCGTGTGGCAGCCACCGGCGTACCGTGTGTGGCGAGTCCATATAAAATGTATGAAAACTACAAGAAATATGCTGGTGGCGGCGTTTTGTGATTGTGGTCGGTGGCCCGTGTGCGGAGACACTTAGGTTCAAATAGCAAAATAACAATACATTTACTTTGTTCGCCAGTAAAATTTAACTACAACTCTATTGACGGTGCATGCCGCAAGTTATAAAAACATCGTTTTAAATAAAACTTAGAGTCAACTTTCAACATAAACTTGTTACAGAATGGAATGAACGTAAACTAATAACGAATTGTGAAGGAACATGGCAGTTACTCGTAGGTTGCTGATGTTAAAATTTCAATTCGAGAACTTTCTTTCAAAACATTATTTTCAATTCTAGGAATTTTATTAGCTCAAATTACCGAACAGAAAAAGTTTCTTCTGTTTTGCTAAAAAATTGAACAAAAATGCAATGCATACGAAAATAAGTTCTCTTTAGATCGATCATGGATCTAGTCAATGTATCTACTGATATAGAACACTTCCTTAGACTAAGGCTTATTGTATGGTCAATACACAGTCTGAATCAGAATTTTGATTCAAAATATGTATTCGTATTTATTAATTCAAATCGCATGGAATTATATATACACCAGTCAACACGATTTTTGAGTCTGAGTTCTTTGTACCAGATTATGATTTCTTATACCTAATTGATGTAAGAAATTGTTTCTTACATTAATTAGGTTTTAATTTAAAAAAGTTTGCTTTTGTAGCTATCAGAATGAATTTTTAAATTTCATGGAAAATTGCAAACTTTTTTGTTTAAGTTGCATATAACAAGAAAATAATCATTAATATATTTATTTAAAACTCTTTTATTTACTTTAGACAAATAAACCAAGTCTATGAATAGAAAAAATATATTGATTTAGTTTTAAAAATTGATGTTTTGGCATATTTTATAATTTTTAGTCTGAAAATTTTCTGAAGTAAACAAAATACCATGGAAATTTGGTAGATCCTCATGTGACGCCCATATTTTATCCTGACTTCGAATAGAAAGTTAAAGCAAGCTTCATTTGCTTAATTATGTCTTTTACTACTGGATAAACAACATTTTTTGACCCGAAATTTAATAAAATCTCCGGAAATAAATCAAACAGAGTCCACGTAGTTTTTACTCATTTTGGAAGACATTTTACCGCTCAAGACTCACAAAATACGTCGTTTCCTTTCAATAAATATTTTTTTCATGCAACTGAGACATAATATAATGATAGGGTCCATAAAGAATAAAAGTATATCATACTAAATATTATAATTCTTTTTCTGACTCACTGAATGTGCTGCTGGTAGTGAAGTAAACAAAAATAACTTGGAAATTTTGTATATCGTCATGAGGCGTCCATATTTTATCCTGAAGTCAAACAGGAAGTTAAAATTAAGCTTCACATGTTTAATTAAGTCTTTAACTACAGGTAAAACCATTGTTATGACTCTAAATTTTAAAAAAATCTCAATTCAAATAAGGCAGACAGGGTCCACGTAGTTTTCACTCATTTTGGAAGGCATTTACCGCTTTAGGCAAAATACGTCGTTTCTCTAAAAGGTGTGTACATGCACTGAGTGATTGCTCTACTGCTTCCTATTCCATACCCAATATCCTTCTGCACTCCTTTCTTTTGCTTATTAAAAGCGGTAGATCCTCAGTTTTTTACAAAAGTCATACATATTTATTTATCATTGTATAAAGTACAAAAGCAAACTTTTTAAAATAAAAATGAGGTTTCTGGTTATTTTTTGATATAAATAATTAGACAATAGTCATTAAATAACAGACTATAAAATATATAACAAAATTAGTATATACTAACATGCTCCACATATTTTGGTGACGCCAAAAGAATATATGTATATGATAGTTACGTCAATGACGGCCTTTATAGTTATAATGAAGAAAGTCATTGTGTATAATACAGCCTGAGAACAAAAACTATAATCTACACTACAAAGGGTCCTGATTGACCAATATGATGGCTGTTAGGTTTATAAATGTGTGTAATGCTTACTTTTATATGTTTTTAGCAGTTTATAATTATATGTTTGTGTTATAATGGTCAATAAAATGGTTCTCTCTCTCTCTCTTTCTCTCTCTCTCTCTCACTACAGCTCTACACCGAAGCGAAGCGAGGGCTGGCCACTAGTTAAACATTAATTTAGACTATCTGTTTTGTATATCTAAATAATTCTTTATATATAAAGAAATCGTGTCATAGTAAACTTATTCCTTACCTGGCACTATCTCCGGGACTCCATGTCCGCGCGCGGCGCATGCGTGGCGTGCGCGGGCGCAATATCTCACATCCTATGCCGCACCACCTGCAAACAATCAAAATAACTTTATACTTTACCCGCTCGAAATTTCTTTTTATATTAAAATGAATTCTTGCTGTTTTACTAATATGGGGGCGGGAAAAGTATATGGAAATCCATTGATAACGCGTTGAACGGGCAAAATTCCAGAAAAAATCACTGTTAACATTATATTAGTACGTAAGCTATCGTAATTTTTATTTTGAATCTTATCGATATGACTCAAAATTATAAAAGAAAAATTTTTTATCATAAAGTTAGCAAAATGATTCTGGCCATTCGCTTGAGAATTTCCGATACAAAGATAAACTAAAAATATAAAATAAACTTTTTTACAGAAAACTAAAAAGGTCGAATTTCGGCAATAAGGCCTCAATACTAGTATGATAAGAATTATAAATTCAAAATTGAATTAATGAATGAAGGATTTATTTATTTCTCTCACAAAGTCACAAAGTAACATTATAATTAGAAAAGGGTATTGAATTACAACAACGGTAAAACAATGCAGTTCTTTGAAAGAGCTGGAGATTGTACTAAGTTACAAAACCTGTGTTACGACCACCAGGCTTAAAACCTCTTAAAACCCGTTTGCTTGCTAAAGATTCTTTTGCATAATACATTTTTTATCGTGATCTACCCTCGATTATAAGCGAGAGTACAATATGTAAATGTTACATTGAATGTTACAGAACCATAGTGAATTAATAACAAAGCAAAAGAAAGAAAAAAGATCGTTACCGCCATTTATCAGAAAATGCGGGTTCACTGGATAACGCTTAAATTTCTATTTATATTTAAATACTAGCAAGTATGTGTGTGTGTGTGTGTGTTGTGTGTGTGTGCATGTGCGCGTGTATTTAATTGGAATTTTGTTTAATCATGTACGGAAGTATTATTAATCGTAGGGTGAAAACCCCTACAATTAATCTGAAATGGCCTCAACCTAACCGAATCTAAAGTGACACGGGGTCAGCGAAGGAATCATGAGTGTATAGCACTTACATCGAGGGCCACTACGGAAAAATGCCATTGACAAAGTAAGAGGCAAATAAAAACGGTGGCAGGCCTTTGCAGCCGTCCGGGTAAGTACGGGCAAAGCGGTTCACGCTAAATAACTTTGAGGTAATGTAATAAAACCTACAGACATGACTTTGTATATGAACAGAAGTTTGAGGCGTATGTATTGTATATTTGCCATGCTGAATTAGTAATCAGGGTATGCTGGTATGGAATGGTAGGGAATTGGAATGCACATAGAAACTCGCTACTTTCAGAAACTATGTTAGATGACATAAATCTGCGGCTGAATTTAAGTTTAATTAAACACTAGCGGCCGCTTCAATTTTTTTGTGAATCTCACAGGAATCTATTTTTGTTTTCGGAAAAAGTGTCCTATGAATCATTTCAGGTCTTAAATTATATGCGTACAAAATTTCATCCATATCCGTTCAGTTTTTTTTTGTGATTGCGTAACAAACAAACTCACCTTCGCATTTATTCTACATATCTATTAATACTTACGATAATCACTAATATTGTGGAGGTAGTAAATCCAGTACTAATAAGAACCGGCAAGAAACTCCGCAAAGGTTGCTTTTTTCTTCCTGTTATATTCATACAGTGTTCTTAATTGAATTATGACATCAAAAGCCTTTAATGCAATGCCAGAAAAAGTTTCAGTAAAACTAAACTAAAGTTGGTCAGCTTCATTACAGAACTGAATTAAGAAGCTGACTAAGTGTATACAAGAAAGTAAAGTATATTATTACTAGAATACAACATATTTTTATCATTCTATTAATAAATTACTTGGAGGTAATGTTTTATTACCCACAGATACGACTTTGCATTTGAACAGAAGTTTGATGCGTATGTTTGTATATTTGCCATACTGAATAGTAATCAGGGAATGCTCTTAGAAACTTGCCACGGTGCCAGTCGCGGTGTCGTAAATGGTTAGTGCATCCGCCTGACGGGACTCGAACCCGTATCCTGCGGAGAATACGGGTTCGAGTCCCGTCTGCTGCATGGACCACGTGGATTTTTTCTGGTAAAAAGTTCTTTAGATTTATAAATCCAGCAGTTAAATACTCATATTTAAAGTATATAAGGTATTATAAAAGGTATAGATTATTGAAATGCCACTAACCTGGGGGCCATTCGCCTAACGGAAATGCTTTGGAAAACGCTAACGATTTCGATTTCATTTTGTTATTTCTGACCGCCGAAGGTTTTCAAATACCTCACGCTCATTTTCTTTAATATTGTTATTACCAATGCAAAAGAAAAAAAAAGGGCATTTGAAAGCCTCAGGCGGCTAGAAATAACAAAATGAAATCGTAAGCATTAGCGTTTTCCAAAGCATTTCCGTTAGGCGAATGGCCCCCTGAGCTGTGTTGTAACCTTATACGGACAAAGAATTTTACTACCGCGAGCACTGTATCTGATCTATATATCAAAGTTTAAACGAACAGAACAATCCATTCCAACAAGCAATAAGCTAAGTGCTTTGTGTAAGATTTAGTACGATGTAGATTTATGTGAAAACACGCTTCACAGGAGCACACATAAGTATTATTTTTAATATAGCTATAGTGTACGATTACTTTTGAGACAACATGGATGAAGATTCTATAAACTATAAAAAGGTACTCTTACCAGCTATGGAGGAGAGTTGGACAAAAGTGATTGTAGACCTATCCGATCCAATGGCCAATTGCCTCACAATAAACAGTCCCTGTAAGTAAACGGTTCCCGTCTACAAAATAAACCATTCGTCTACGGAGGTAAGCTCTCCAGCTAGTTTCGATGAAAAAAAAAACGAGTCGACGGCGAAAAAAATGTCTCGTTATTCGCTCGCAAAACTACAAGTTCAGTTTAGTTTCACCGTGGAGGGCCCTCACGACGTTGCCTGGACAAATTGCACTCAAGAGGGTTGAGGGGACACACGGGCAAATCGAAACGAGCAACAACAAACCGAGCTGGCCTTTTTTGTCAATTACGGTGCTTGTACGAATATGTCAGCTAACCGGTGTCCGCTTTTTAGTCGAACAAATAAGATAAGTATAATATTTGTGTCTTAGGTTTTCACGCACAGCACTCATTAAATAAAACTAGTTTTTACGGATTAATGCACGAAACTTTATTTATTTATTGACGTTTCGTAGCCTTTACAGGCTACGTCGTCAGAATTAAACTTTTATTTAATTTGTCGAGCTACCTTCGAAAGACTGGTCTTAAATATAAGTGCGTAAAATAAATAAATAAAGTTTCGTGCATTAACCCGTAAAAACTAGTTTTATTTAAGATAAGTGTAAATTTCATAACACTTATTCAAACCTAGAAAGTAAATACAATATTCAAACTCTGGAAAAAAGGTCCTATAAATCAGTACTACAGTACGCGATTATCATGACTCATGGAAGTATATCTTATGTGATTCGTCCTATCACGCAAGCGTAACGTAGCGTAATAAAGCTCGCAACCGGCTTTTCAATTTGAAAATGGAATTTTGAATAAAGTTTGTTCTCCAGAAAATTGTTACTTTCTCCGTAGTGATATTGAATATATCATCGATATTACAAAAACCATCCTACCGAAAAGTTTCTTAATTTCTTTTTATCAATTAATAGTGTTTCAAAAAGGTGTTCACATAATATTCAGAGAAAAGTGGAGCATGAGCACGTCGGGCATTGTACAGATTTTTTTTTTTATTCAATTTCGTACCCATAAAGTACCTTACAGTAATAATCACATGTATCCTGTGCTGTTTTAATACTCTTTTATTAGGTCCACTTGTAATAACTAACTATGTAATGAAATCTAAGAATCTGAATTAGACGCACTTCTGATTTTTGTATCATCATGAAACTTGGCAATTATATGTAGATTAGATGACAATATAATATTATGGTACCATCGAGCTGGTCTGATGACGGGACTGGAAGGTGGCTGATGGAACCTTGGACTGCCTACTAGTAAACATATCGAGTTTGGGCTCATTAGATTCGCCTTCATATATTCTGTTTTTAACACGATTTTATTAGATCGACATGTATGTAACTATGTAATGGAATCTAAGGTAACTAATTTAACCATCTTTCAAGGAATCTAGTGTAATGAAAATTGGCAGGTGTGTGTGAGTGTGTATGTAGTTCTGATGACAATACAATAAAGGTACTGTCGAACTGATCTGATGATGGAGCCGTAAGATATGAACTGGAACTTCATGATCGAACAACAAGTATTTCTAGTATCAAGTATCTTATCACAGACTAAAAAGAATAAAATAAATTAATAGTTTAAAAAAACACGCTTTTATAAATTCACGTAAAAACCAAAAATAAATTATTGATCGTTCAAGTTGTCTCTATTTCTGGGCAGAAGTGTAAATTATGTGCTTTTAATTATACATATTTGACTGTAAAAGCGTGGGGCGCTGGAACAGGAAAGACTTTTTGTGTAAATGACTGAGAAATCAAGATATTAGTAATACTATATTCATCATTATAATGAATAGAATATTTAAGGGAATAAATAGTATTCGTGCTGCAACTCCAGTTACTGGAGAGCCAATCTGTGTAACCTGCTTCCCGTAACATCGCTTAACTTGATTTCTCTGCAAGTTATACAAAAAGTCTTTCCTGTCCAAGCGCCCCACGCTTTTACAGTCAAATATTATATTTAAAAGCACATAATTTACACTTCAGCCCTGAAATAGAGACAACTTGATCGATCCATAGTTTATTTTTGGTTTTTACGTGCATTTATAAAAGCGTGTTTTTCTAGTTTTTTTAAACTATTAATTTATTCTCAAAATCTTTTGCCGAGAAGACGTATATTGTATGTACCACAGTATAAATCAAAAATAACGTAAGAAATATATAACAAAATAAACACCGCTTAGTCCACAGTTTCATACAGCCGCGTTTCATTCGAGCTTTCTGTGTGTTCGATTTCTAAGCCACGTTTTCCGCTTTTTCTCTAAATTTCAAATGCTGCGC